TTACAAAGAAATCATCCTCATCTAATCCTGACCCAGCAATTCTTTGACCCCTATGCAAAGTTTCCCCGTGGAAATTCCCAGCACCAATGAGTTAATTTCCTTAACCAGTACATGCTCTTTTTCTTAAAAATTTCTGTAGCTGAAACAATAATAATAATCCCTAACCCTACTCCAACAATCCACCCCCGTTCAACATCCTTAACATCCTAACATCCTTAAATTTCTCCAAGACTCACTCTCATTCTCCGCCGATCCATCAGCCAACCTAATCGATCAGTTTTACTCGTTTTTCGCCGATACGTCGACTAGCACAGTTTCGATTCATTCTCTGCAGATCCGTCAGCTAACTTTATAGTTCAATTTCGATTTAATCCGTTGTGTAACATAGTCTCAGTTGTAATTATTTTCCGCTTGTATGTAAAGGATTATTGTTGTTGAGTTTGCTTCTTAGTGCATTATTTTATAATAAACTGTGTTCATTTTGTTCATCTAAATTCGCTTTCACATATCTGCTATTATAAATCCAATCTCTTCTGCACCGCTGACATCCTCAACATTATAATCATCAGAATCAAGGTAAGCACAATAAAATTATTATATTTGGTGAAGGAATTCTTTAATTCTGTTGAACCATTGTAGATGTTAGAACTTTTTAAGTTTCAATTATTTAGTTGGTGACGGTTTTCATTTGTTTTCATTTAGTATCTTTGAAATCAATTCTATCATATATCCAGTTCCATTCATTCTTCCCCTGGTAATTAGAGGCATAGCCCAATCCCGAGTAAAGTGCGCAAGCATTGACTCAAAACAGGGCAATTTGATAGTATATTACGGTTCGGTAAAGGCACCAGTCTAAGCCTCTATTCTGGTTCGGACGTAACATAATAATGAAAACAACTTTGAAACAAAAGTATGGTTGCAGTTTACAAACCCGAGGGTCACAAGTTTCGAACCTCTCCAATGTGACAAAACTTTATTTCGGTTTTTCAGAGTTGTATTTGTTCGACAGTACATTCGACTATCAATATTAATAGTACTGATAGAAGGGTTAAGTAATGGTTAAATTAGCGCTCATAGTAACATTTTATTTATAAAGAATAGAAAACGATAGTTTTCTATGAGGAAAATCAGATAACGTATCTGGTATGTACAAACTTAAAATACAATTGAATTTAATAGATTTTATTTCCTATAAGAATTTATTCGATTTTAAAGCAGGTAATCAAATTTCTTGATAGACTTCAATTGCATTTATACTCAAGCCAGTAAAAGCAAAAAAGTAGCGGAGCTCGCGCTAAGCGAGAGCATAGCGTAAACGAGTGCGTAAAACCGACCCGAGGCCGTGCTTTTATGGCGGATCCAATGTGCATATTGCACTTTATGCATGGAAAATCCGATTATCGCTATATTCTAGGGCAAGAAAGCCAAAGTGCTTCAGGAATAGAAATACTACACTTACGAGCCTCGGATCTGTCCACGCGGTTTTAGTCGTGTTCTGTAATGTTCAAAACAATCACTTTATTGCTAAGATTGTCGAAAATCACTGGTATTGCCATTTAATTTACATTATGATATCAATTTGATGGCCGTTGTCGTCCTCAATCATGGAAACAATGTCCATGAGTGTACTATGCTCACTGAAAACATTGAACCACAAGAAAAATACCTCCTGCGCGTCCACGAGCGTGTTGTGAAAGTGATTAAGTATCCTGCCCTGTAGAACCTTCCCCCTCGAGAAACTGATTATGTCATATGCACTGTGTTAAACTGACCACTTAGAACGGTGCTATAATCGGAATTTACGTGTATAAAGTTAATTTAAAGACTCTTTTTGCTGGCAATGAATAGCTTGTCATAGTGATTTATGCGCTGAATTGCCAATTTTAGGATGGTACTCAAACAGGTAAATTGAAGAATACTGTAAACTTTTCTCGGAATGTGAAATGTATTTGTCGACCATCATTCAATCATACACATTCCAAGTAGGCACAATGCGATGAAAAAAAAAGTTTAACACTTATAAATGACAGTGGACAGAATCATCTTTAAACTTTAAAGGAATAATGAAAGTATAACTTCGGGATTACATACAGAGGAACCTCTCAATCGCAATAATAAACACAACAATTAATGACACAGAAATACTTGTTAAAAATAATAACAGAATAAGGACCATGACATTTCAAGGATTTAGAACTTTCAATAAAAAATTAAAAAAAAAAATGTGTGCAATTGAAGGAAGGATTATTAGCGGGTCTCGCGCCAGACGTAATAATATCAGAAATCCAGCGCGTAATCCACTATGCCAAATTATTTATTGCCAACGAGAAGGCACTTTTTAAAATAACTTTAAGCAAGGAACTCTCATCTCGGTGTCTTCTGCCTTTCATTGCCCTGAGTACTACTAAATTACTAGTAAAAGTGCAATTGAAGTCTAGAAAGAAATTTGATTAAGCGTTCGATGAATAATATATTTTCTTCGTCCTCTTGTAAGGCTGAGTAATCAGTCATATGATCCCTATGATCACATATGAGTTTGCTTTCATGTACTAAGCGTGGTCGTTACCCATACAAAAAGGTAACCCAAATAAATAATTGTGCGTGAGAATTAATTAAATGTGGCCGAATAATGGAATTACTCCATAGTTTAATTTTTTTCCAAGGTATCGTAGCAGTACAAGTGACAATGGTGGGACTCGCGCTCACACCGCGAAACTCACAGACGTAGCAGAAGTGCGGCACTCATTCACACTGCTTACAGACATACCTCCGGTTAATTTGTGTATCTGACTGGCACATTGAAATCGTTAATTACTCGATAATTACATGTCAGTTCAAAAAATAATAAAGGATTTTTGGACGGTTATCCCTTTGGCAAACTTTTCCATTTAATGTTGTGACGTGTTTTCTTAACTTGACACCGGTAACGCGAATCCAAGGGCTAACCTACGCCAGCAAGATGGAATAGCGTCAACTCCACAGAAACAAAAACTCTGATGGAATCCATCAGAACGGACGTTGCATAATGGATACTTTCGATTTTTAGAGTTGCATGAAATCGAGAAACGCAACAGAAAGTGTCGATTTTTAGGGGTCACGTAAAATGAACGAACGCAACTGTATGGGTTGACTGGAGCAGAGACTACCGGAAATGTACGACCGCTCAGGCTGTTGGTTACGGTAGATAGGATCGGAGGAAACGTCAAGCAAATAAGCAGAAAACAAGTGAACGAGAACGTAAGAGAACGGATCGCAAGCTAGAAAATCGGAATCCCTTTATCAATTATTAAATTGGGAGTTCTCACCGGAATTGTATCCATAGAACACCCGCGGAAGGCATAGCACCACTGCACAGTACTGTATCTCGTGAACACACACGGAAAATCCGTAGAATTTTCTTAATTTGTCGAAAGAAAACGCAAAAATTACACGATCGAGAACTATCAATACCTTATAGACAACGAAGCCAGAAAACTATCAGATAGCACGAGAGCAGAAGCCAACTTCGAGGACAAATCATTCTGATCGCTCGACATCCTTTAACCGATAGCTACTATCCCCATCTTCGAGTTGTCCCTTTCAAATATATCGAGAGCGTTTTTTAGCATATCGGCAACAGGGTGATGCCCAGTTGCGCACAAACCCAATTGGACACAAATGCGAATTTCTGCCTCTTGAGTGATATTCCGTCAGTAATTCAACGATATTGTAAGTTATCTTTATCTGATGGAACCTTTTCAAACATTTAATGCTCTGTTCAGTCCATATACTTTTCCACTAACCTACCCAGCCCCAGAAATTTGAACATTCCACCTTATCCTAACGTTACCTAATTAAACCTAGCATAAACTAATGTTGAACCACATACAATATACTATAATAAAACATCGTTCGTACCTAATTTTATTCCATCTATTTAAATGCGTACAGAATTTGGATTAAAAAGTCATTTGTGTCCAATTGGTCTATGCGCCAGTGCCCCCCCCCCCCCCCCCCCCCCCCCC